CTAGTCGTGAAAATATTCCTACTAAAAATCATTTCAAAAATCCGATGTCAATCCTAAATATCCCACCCCTGCAATTTTGATACTAGGAAGGTACTGTACATGACCTACATGCAGCTGATGTAAGTCGCGATAAGACCAAATTAAACAAATTCAAATCAATAAGCACTGCTGAAGTGTTTGATCGACAAATAAACATGGAGGTGTCATCATGTAGGAACCTTCTTCTGCTATCAATCTGTCAATCACATTTACTTTTTGATTGATGTATTTTATTTTCCCGGTTTTTGGTATTTGCGACTATTCGGAACGCTTTGTGTTTGGGTTTCGTTGGTTTTTGCTGCGACATCAGGTAATGGGTTATCAAGATCACTGCTTTGGAATGAGAGACACAGAGGCAAATATGAATAGTTCGGAATATTATTATTAAAAAAAAAATTCCGAATAAAATTTACCAAGAAAATAAGTACGCATATAGGGCGTATGAGTACCGTCAACATTCATACGCCAACCTCACCACAAATGTTAATAATTAGAGTAGGACTTTTTCAAGTTGAAACGAAGCAAAAGACTTCGTTTAAGCGACTCGTCGTCAATGACGAAAATATTCTCCATTGAATTCCACTATAAGGCATCAAACATATGAAATCTCTAGCTATACCACATGGCTTTCAAAATGCAGTCTAAGTTTACGCAGTTTGGAAAGTGAAACTTGCAGACAAATACAAATAGCTTGGCGCATTATTTTTATCTAATAGAGATAGGTTTGGATTTATTATGGCCGAAAGTGCAAAAATAATAAATTCTCTAACCCTTAAAGGCGTAACAAAATGGTGAAGAAAAATCGTTGGACTATATGGCGTATAAGTGCCGACAACATTCATACGCCAACCAGAGCACAATTGCTTAAAATTAGTTAGTCTCTAATTTTACGGGCTTCAAAGAAGCTCAAGACTTCATTGTATCAACTCGTTGTCAATGACGAAAATATTTTTCACCAATTTCCACTACAAATCACCGAACAAAAGAAATCTCTAGCTATACTACATGACTTTCAAAATGCAATCTAAGTTTGGAATGTGAAACTCGAAGATCGATAGCTCAGCGCATTATTGTTAACCAATAGACATCAGTTTGGATTTCTTATGACAGAAATTGAAAAATTATACATTCACTAGCCCATAAAGGCGCAACAAAGTGTTAAAGAAAAAGGGTTCGACTATACGGCGTATACGTAGCGACAACATTCATACGCCAACCAAATAACAAATGCTCAAAATTAGAGTCAAATTTGTTGGAGCCTGAAGGAAGCACAGGACTTCATTGTAGCGTATCGTTATCAATGACGAAAATATTCTCCACCAAATTCCACTACAAGTCACCGAACAAAAGAAATCTCTAGCTATACGACATACCTCTCGAAATGCAATATCACTTTCAATATCTGCCTGTCTGTTATAATAATGACAGCCATTTAAATGTTAATGATTCCATCAGTCAGACAGTTTAATGTTTATAATTTATAATAATTATTGGACCGTGAGGTGACAAATTTATTTAAATTTCGATTTATTATCGACACGACTTTTCGACAAGAAACGCTAAAAGGCCATATCTCTGTAGTAGAGAACAGGTGCTATGGTGTGATTTTACGATCATTGAGTACATTAAAAAAAAATGATAAAGAATCAATCGAGTGCACACTTATCGTTAGGAAAAAACCAGGGTTCAGCAAGTCAAGAAATATTTAATTAACTCCGATATATTTCGAAGATGCTGTGAAATATTTACTGGACACCCAGTGCGTATGAGTACTGACAAAAGTTATACGCCACAAGGAACCTTTACTATTTTAATTCCTTAATGTCATCAAAAGAGGTGCGGGATCTGTTGAAAATCAAAATTTCACCGCTCTGGGTGTGAATTTTTTATACAATATTTTCAAGCTCTAGCATAGTCATTCGCACGGATTTTTAAAATAATGTTAAATATTAGGAAAAAATAAATTACCGACACACCCACATTTAATTCCATTCCTTCCAAAGATTATTACCTTCATCTTTTCACCGTCTCTCAATGGTTTTCCTCGAACATCAACACTTCGATCCCGTTGACAGCAGACACATTAAACATGTGATTATTTGCTTTTATTTTTTTTTCATGTCACTTCGAGCATTGAATCCATCGTCTGGTCCTGATAATGCAATGTGATAGCTCACGCACTCAGATTTTTTTTAATTCATGACATTCCGTACACGCTAAAAACCTTTTTGACACGAAAAATAAATTGTCACTTTCAAAATCTCATTTTCAATAATTTTTTTTAAATACATTCCGATTCAATATTGTTTTCGAATTATTTGTTTTTTTTTCTTTGAATAAGTACACGTCGTAGTTTTGTCTACTATCATCGATCGATTTTTTTTTCATTTTAGTTTCGCATCACTTGTTTGTCTTTGGGTCTGAACTTCAGTTGGGTCTTCCGTTGGACGTTACGTCCGTCTCTCCGTTTGTCTGTCCCAGCCGGCATTTTTTCCGATTATGATTATATAGTATAAACAAACACTCTGCCACTGGAATTATGCATACTCTCTTCGGTCCCTTGATTAAGTTTTCTTCTTCCTCTTCTTCTGTCCAAAACAAACAGATCACCAGCACAACATTTTAAGCTTGGCTGATAAGCTGCGAATTGTGCGAGGGGTTCAAGTTGGTGATAAGAACACTAAAAAAGTGGTAGGCACAGGGAAAAATTGAAAATCCACACCTAAGGCAATGCTGGAGCTTGAAAAATATTTTTTAAATAATCCACACCTAAGGCCATGCTGGAGCTTGAAAAATATTTTTTAAATAATCCACACCTAAGGCCATGCTGGAGCTTGAAAAATATTCTTTAAAAAATCCACGCCTAAGTCTAGGCTAGAGCTTGAAAAATATTCTTTAAAAAATCCACGCCTAAGTCTAGGGTAGAGCTTGAAAAATATTCTTTAAAAAATCCACGCCTAAGGCCATGCTGGAACTTGAAAAATATTCTTTAAAAAATCCACGCCTAAGGCCATGCAGGAACTTGAAAAATATTCTTTAAAAAATCCACGCCTAAGTCTAGGCTAGAGCTTGAAAAATATTCTTTAAAAAATCCACGCCTAAGGCCATGCAGGAACTTGAAAAATATTCTTTAAAAAATCCACGCCTAAGGCCATGCAGGAACTTGAAAAATATTCTTTAAAAAATCCACGCCTAATGCCATGCAGGAACTTGAAAAATATTCTTTAAAAAATCCACGCCTAAGGCCATGCAGGAACTTGAAAAATATTCTTTAAAAAATCCACGCCTAAGGCCATGCAGGAACTTGATAAATATTCTTTAAAAAATCCACGCCTAAGGCCATGCAGGAACTTGAAAAATATTCTTTAAAAAATCCACGCCTAAGGCCATGCAGGAACTTGAAAAATATTCTTTAAAAATCCACGCCTATGGCCATACAGGAACTTGAAAAATATTCTTTAAAAAATCCACGCCTAAGTCTAGGCTAGAGCTTGAAAAATATTCTTTAAAAAATCCACGCCTAAGTCTAGGCTAGAGCTTGAAAAATATTCTTTAAAAAATCCACGCCTAAGTCTAGGCTAGAGCTTGAAAAATATTCTTTAAAAAATCCACGCCTAAGTCTAGGCTAGAGCTTGAAAAATATTCTTTAAAAAATCCACGCCTAAGTCTAGGCTAGAGCTTGAAAAATATTCTTTAAAAAATCCACGCCTAAGTCTAGGCTAGAGCTTGAAAAATATTCTTTAAAAAATCCACGCCTAAGTCTAGGCTAGAGCTTGAAAAATATTCTTTAAAAAATCCACGCCTAAGTCTAGGCTAGAGCTTGAAAAATATTCTTTAAAAAATCCACGCCTAAGTCTAGGCTAGAGCTTGAAAAATATTCTTTAAAAAATCCACGCCTAAGTCTAGGCTAGAGCTTGAAAAATATTCTTTAAAAAATCCACGCCTAAGTCTAGGCTAGAGCTTGAAAAATATTCTTTAAAAAATCCACGCCTAAGTCTAGGCTAGAGCTTGAAAAATATTCTTTAAAAAATCCACGCCTAAGTCTAGGCTAGAGCTTGAAAAATATTCTTTAAAAAATCCACGCCTAAGTCTAGGCTAGAGCTTGAAAAATATTCTTTAAAAAATCCACGCCTAAGTCTAGGCTAGAGCTTGAAAAATATTCTTTAAAAAATCCACGCCTAAGGCTGTGCTAGAGCTTGAAAAATATTCTTTAAAAAATCCACGCCTAAGGCCATGCAGGAACTTGAAAAATATTCTTTAAAAAATCCACGCCTAAGTCTAGGCTAGAGCTTGAAAAAAATCTTTAAAAAATCCACGCCTAAGCCTAGGCTAGAGCTTGAAAAAAGTTTTCTTTAAAAAATCCACCCCTAAGCCTAGGCTAGAGCTTGAAAAAAGTTTTCTTTAAAAAATCCACGCCTAGAGCTCAGAAGGGGCTTGAAAAAAAATATTTAAAAAATCCACGCATTGAAAAAAATATATTTTAAAAATCTATGCCTAAAACTCAGAAGGAGCTTGTAAAAATTATTTAAAAACCCACGCCTAGAGCTTTTTAGGGGTTCAAGAAAATATGAAAAAAAAACACTCCTGCTTTTTCCCAGTGTATCACCTCTTCGCAGCAGTACCAGACATCCGATGATAAGAAATTTTGTTTTTACGCCGGCAATTACTGAAGAGATTTCATTTTTCGGAATTAAATCTCAACATGAATGATTTTCCAGGCTTAGTTGTGTTCGATGCTTCTTGACAGAACTACCGATACCGGTCAATAGTGAAACGCGATTCGGTCTTAGTAGACGCGCTTGAAATTGACCGAGACTCAAGCTCGGACATCGCTGAAAGAAAAGAAAATATCTTTCGTAGAAGTGTTGGTGATCTTGGTCTTAAACCCTAGAAGTGAAGAAAATAAATTAGAAAAGAAAACTCAAGACAAAAAGAAAATTGAAAAACAAAAGAAATTAACCATGAATGGCAATAAATGTTTCAAAACGAAGTTAGTGCTACTCGGCATATCGGGAGCGGTATTCCTGGGCCTTTTCATTGTCTCCCTGTGTGTAGACTATCAGCAGGAACTGCTGAAAGAACACATCCGTTTCCGCAAGGGTTTCATTTCCCAGCTAAATTGGATCGATTCTCCCTATGGCCGCCTCAAGATGTACATTTTCAATATTACAAATGCCGAGGCTTTCCTTGCCGGTAACGACACACGAATCCATGTTCAAGAAGTCGGACCAATTGTTTATCGCATCGTCGGCCGTAACGAAATCCTAAATCAGACCGAAGATTCGGTAACATTTCGTAAATTACGATATGAGCAGGTGGAATTTATGCCTCATGAAAGTTGTTCGCCCGATATTCTGAATCAAACGATAGTTTTGCCAAATTTGGTGTTACTCGGTGCGGCAGCGAAGCTACACGATTGGGTATTTTTGGTGCGGCATGCATTCAATGCCATCACCATAAATGAATCGATATTTTTGACGAAAAGCGTGTATTATTTCCTGTGGGATTTTACGGTGCCCGCATTGAGTCTGTTGGCTCAATATGTTCCGAATATCGTATCGAATTGTGGATTGCTATATAATGTGAGTATGGGGAATTTGGGAAGATGCAAAATTATTTTTAAGGACAAAATGCGATCAAGGTGTGAATTTTTAAAAATTATTTTTCCAACCCAACTCTATGTGGTGATTTTTTAAAGAATATAGTTTAGGCTATAGGCGTGGAGTTTTTTAATATCATTTTCAAAGTGAACTTTTAAAAATATATGTTTCAACCTCTAGACTTGGATTTTTTAAAAATAATTTTTCAAGCTCCCGCATAGCTCTGGGCAAGGATTTTTTAAATAATATTTTTCAGGCTCTGACATAGCTTGGGAGTGGATTTCTTAATTTTTTTTCAAGCTCCAGCATGACCTTAGGCGTGGATTTTTTAAAGAACATTTTTCACGCTCCAGCATGGCCTTAGGCTTGGATTTTTTAAAGAATATTTTTCAAGCTCAAGCATGGCCTTAGGCATGGATTTTTTAAAGATTTTTTCAACCTCCAGCATGGCCTTAGGCGTGGATTTTTTAAAGAATATTTTTCAAGTTCCAGCATGACCTTAGGCGTGGATTTTTTAAAGAATATTTTTCAAGTTCCAGCATGACCTTAGGCGTGGATTTTTTAAAGAATATTTTTCAAGTTCCAGCATGACCTTAGGCGTGGATTTTTTAAAGAATTTTTTTCAAGTTCCAGCATGACCTTAGGCGTGGATTTTTTAAAGAATTTTTTTCAAGTTCCAGCATGACCTTAGGCGTGGATTTTTTAAAGAATATTTTTCAAGCTCTAGCCTAGACTTAGGCGTGGATTTTTTAAAGAATATTTTTCAAGCACCAGCATGGCCTTAGGAATATTTTTCGTCCAGCATGGAGGCGTGGATTTTTTAAAGAATATTTTGCATGGCCTTAGGCGTGGATTTTTTAAAGAATATTTTTCAAGCTCCAGCATGGCCTTAGGCGTGGATTTTTTAAAGAATATTTTTCAAGCTCCAGCATGGCCTTAGGCGTGGATTTTTTAAAGAATTTTTTTTTATAAAGAATATTTTTCAAGCTCCAGCATGGCCTTAGGCGTATTTTTTTTAAAGAATATATATATGGCTTTAGGCGGATTTTTTTTTGAAAAATCCATTTTTAGCATGGCCTTAGGCGTGGATCTTTTAAAGGCGTGGATCTTTTAAAGAATATTTTTCAAGCTCTAGCATGGCCTTAGGCGTGGATCTTTTAAATAATATTTTTCAAGCTCTAGCATGGCCTTAAGCGTGGATATTTTAAAGAATATTTTTCAAGCTCTAGCATGGCCTTAGGCGTGGGTGTTTTAAATAATTTTTTTCAAGCTCCAGCATGGCCTTAGGCGTGGATTTTTTAAAGAATATTTTTCAAGCACCTATATATAAGGCGTGGATATTTTAAATAATATTTTCAATGATATTCGGAGCTCTTGTCGTGAATATTTTAAATAATATTTTCAATGATATTCGGAGCTCTAGTCGTGAATATTTTAAAGAATATTTTTTTATAATTTTTAAAAATATTTTACACGATTTTTTTCCTAATTTTTTAATCACTTGTATGTTGGCTGTTTACATTGCATAGCAATTCATGAAAAAAGTGTTGCATACTTTAAGGCTTCAGATAATAATTAACTGTTTTTAGTTAAACTGATAAAATTTGAATATCAACCAACTACAATTGTAAATATATTTCTGGTTAAAATTTTTTATTACTTTATCTTGAAAAAAAAAACAACAACAAAATTAGCTACGCAATTCCGCAATTATAAGTTCCGCATAAACAAAAAAATCTTTGAAACCAAGAGCGGAATCATTTGATTTATTATGTTATTTTTTTCCTTTAGAATGTACTATAACTGGAAATAAAAAATATCAGCTGATGTTGTCAACATACAATGTGGGCGAATTCAATATTAAAAAACAATTTTCTAAATAGATGCGCATTATTTTAAATATGCCCTTTTAATTATATAGAAATTCAAAATAAAATACAAAAATAAATAGACATCAACGAGATCAGATTATGAAATATAATGGTGCAATAGGGCAGCACGTTCATACTGATAAAGGGAAAAAATAATCTATAGAAATTCGAAAATAAAAAATTAAATTGGAAATTTTCTAATTCTCTCAATTGGCTGTTTTAGAGGGCGGTATATAAACACACTGCCCTGAAATTGCTACACCTAAGCCAAATCCAATTTTCCATTCATTAATTTAGCAGATGTATCGGCACAAATAAGTATGTATGTTGATGTGTATGTCCATAATCGCATGTTTACACATGCTTTGCAAGATAAGAACAAACATAAATTCCGTGACGTAAAATAAAGTTATGCTCACCACATCAGTGTCCCTAATTCCCTTAATTGAAATATTCATTCACTCACTACTAAGAAATTCTAATCTAATGTTTTTTTTTTTTAATTCAGAAAATTTCGAAAATTGTTAAACAACAATCAATGCGGCCACATTATCTATCTAGTATTTAATTCAAAATATGGGGTCTTATCAATTATTTTGCTAATTTATTTGCAATGTCAAGATTAGAGGAAAAAAATCTATTTGGTGGGAAATTAAAAAAAAAACAGTATAAATAAGTGGATTTCAAGCTCCTATATAAGGTGTGGATTTTTTAACACATTTTGTTTTTCAACTTTTTAAAATATTTTTTTCAAGCGCGGATTTTTCTAAATATTTTTTTACCTATACGTATCTCTAAAGAGATCCTCATAACCTATACGGCCCCCTGTAGAGCTCATCATCTCCTCAACGAATATGTATAGAGCTACTCCTCATCACCTACACGGACCTCTATAAAACTCCTTATATAATATACGGAGGTTTGTAGAGATCCTCAAAGTCTGTACAAGCCCCTATAGAGCTGCTCGTCACCTATATGAACCTCTATAGAACTTCCCAATACCTACACAGATCTCTAAATAGCTCCTCATGACATATATAGACCTCTATAGAACTCCTCATCGCCTACATGGACCTCCATAAAACTCATTATAACATATACGGAGGTTTATAGAGATTCTCAATGCCTGTACAAGCCTCTATAGACCTGCTCGTTGCCTATATCGGCCTCTATAAAACTTCCCAATACCTACACAGATCTCTATGGACCTTTATATAGCTCCTTATCACCTATACAGACCTCTATAAAACTCATTATATCATATACGGAGGTTTATAGAGATTATCAATGCCCGACAAGCCTCCATAGAGCTACTCGACCTCTATAGAACTTCCCAATACCTACACAGATCTCTAAAGAGCTCCTCATTAACTATACATACCTCTAGAGAGCTCATCATCACCTATACGGACCTCTATAGAATCATCATTGCCTATACGGACCTAGAATCATCATTGCCTATACGGACTTCTATACAACTCCTCATCACTTACACATACCTCTATTGAGCTCTTCTTCACGTATACGGATATTCTCACAGATACCCCAATACATATACGCAACTCTAAAGAGCTCTTCATCACCTATCGGACCTCTATAGACCTCCTTATCATCTATACGGATCTCTATAGAGCTCATCATATCTTATTAGGATGTCTATAGAGCTTCTCATTACATATACGGATTTCTATAGAGCTTTTCATTATCTGGACGGACATCTATAGAGCTCCACATTATCTATATGGAGTTCTCATCACATATGCGTACCTCTATAGGGGTCATCAATAGAGATCATCATCACCTAGAGGCCCCATAGAGCTCATCATACCTATACTGACCTCTATATATACGAAATCTATATATGACCTCTATCATATACGGAGGTCTATAGAGTTCCCCATTCCTGTACGGACCTCGATAGAGCTCCTCATACCTATACGGATTTCTATAGAGCTTCTCTAAAGAGCTCTTCTTCACCTACACTGACCCCTTTAGAGCTCCTCAGTACCTGTACGGACCTCTGTAAAGCTCCATTTTACCTATATGAACCTCTATAGATTCCACATCGCCTATACACCTCTATGAGGCTCTAACCACATACAGGGACATCTTAAGATTTTTTTCAACACCTATACGGACCTCTATAGACCTCCTCATCACTTCTCATTACATGTAAGAACCTCTACAGAGCTCCTCATTGCCTGTACGGACATCCAGTGAACTCCATATTATCTACATGATGTTCTCATCATCTATACGTACCTCTATAAGAGCTCTCAGCTCCTCATAGAGCTCCCCAATACCTATACGCATCTCTAATCACTTATACGGTGCTCATCACCTATACTGACCTCATTATTTCCTATACGGAAGTCTATAGAGTTCCTCATGACCTGTACGGATCTCGATAGAGCTCCACTTTACCTATATGGTCCTCTATAGATTCAACATCACCTATACACCTAGGGGCTCTCATCACCATAGGGTGGTAAGGCGTGTTTTTCTAAATGTTATCATTATATTTCGATATTGTTTTAGAAATGTTTTTTTTATACTATTACCATTCTTCTTCTTCTTCCAGGCCATACGTCAAAAGGACGAAGTCTACAAGGTGCGGATTGGAATGAAAAACGGCTTCGAGAATTTCTTTCGTATTGAGCAGTTGAATGGCAAAACATATTTCCCCGAACGACGAGCCAATTATCTGCATCCCGATCCCAATGAGTACTGTCCGATTAATGTCGATAATAATTTCGATAATTCAATGTTCCCACCCATGCTGCAGCCCCAAGAAGATATTAATATTGTGGCGATTGAAACATGTCGTACCATGAAAATGCACTACGATGGTCCCACGGAGATGATGGGCCTCAAGGGTTATCGTTATGTGCTGGGTGATCGTAATGATCGACCCAGCTGCATGGATTCGTCAATGGGTATTAAGCTGCCGAAGGGCATGTATGATGTGGCCAAATGTTTGATAAGTGAGTAGGGGTGTACAAATGTGGGGTTTGAATAATAATTTGAATATTTTTTCTAATTTTCTAGATGATGTCCCCTCGGCCTTTTCCTTGCCTCATTTCTATGGTTCCTCATATAACTATTCGGAGCATTATGTGGGCTTTGCTCCAGATCCGGCCAAACATCAGCCCAGCATTACCATAGAACCGATTTCCGGTATTCCCTTGGATGAAAGTTATCGTTTCCAATCGAATATCCCCATGCCGGATATGAAGGGCTATAGCAAGGATCTGCAAAAGCTTAGCAATATGATTATACCGAATTTCTGGTATGAATATGTAAGTACACGCATACACAAACATACACACACACCTGAGAGAAGATAACTAAATATGTTTTATTCTTCTTTTTTCAGAACCTGGATGAATATCCCGCCCGCATTTCCATCCCCCTCAAGCTGAATGTGAAATATGCCCCCATCCTACAGCCCATCTTTATCGCCCTGTTCCTTTTCATCTCCCTCGTTAGTTTCCTTAAATTATATCTTCTCATCAAGCAACAGACCCTCAAGGAGCTGTTCTCTAAATACTATAGTCTGATTAGAGAATTTAGAGAGAAAAAATAATCGCTAGTCTTTAGTCGCTAGGTTTTTGTTCGTTTTTTTTCGGATAAGTTAGTAATTATTATATAAATTTTAATTTTTAATATTTTTTATTTAATATAAAAAAATTTATTTTTATACATATCTAAATATTTTTTTTAAAAAAATAAAATACAACATAAATATAATTTTTTGTTTTTGTATGTATGTGGGTGGGTGAGAGATTTAAAAAAAATCGGGGTGGTAATGGATCAGACCTAAGGGGGTAAATTCATAATATCCTGCCATCTATCGGCATCAATGTGAGAATTTAAAGGTTATGTTTTGCTCTATAGTTGCCATTGGGATCATATTTGTCCAACAACAATTTCCATTCTCCGGGACGTCTGGCACGCAGGAAGTTAATCACCTTTTGGGAGTTTCTCTTTTGGACATCGGTACATTTGCTGCAGTCACTTTGCAAGGCATCGGGCAGGAGTTCTGGAATAGAAGGAAACCACAATTTAAAAAAGTCAATATCAATACCAAAAATGTACGATTAAGAAGTCAGTAAGGGAACATATAAAAAAATATGAGTTCTACAGAGAGGAGGTCTATAGATAAGAAAATTCGGTGATGAAGTCCGTAGATGTCAAAAAGTCAGTAAGGAGCTCTATATAAAGGTGGGTATAGGAGGTAAGAAGCTCTCTAGATGTCCGTATAGCTGGTAAGGAGATCTATAGAAGTCCATATAGATGGTGACGAACTCTATAGAAGTTATGAGGAGCTCTATAGAGGTCCGTATGGGTGGTGAGGAGCTCTATAGAGGTTCGTATAGGTGGTGAGGAGCTCTATAGAGGTCCATGTAGGTAATGAGGAGCTCTATAGACCTCCGTATAGGAGATGATGAGTTCTATATATGTCCGTATAGGTGGTGAGGAGCTCTATAGAGATCTCTATAGGTGGTGAAAAGCTCTATAGAGGTTGTTACAGTTGGTGAGGAGCTCTATAGAGGTCCGTATAGGTGGTGAGGAGCTCTATAGACGTCCGTATAGGTGGTGAGGAGCTCTATAGACGTATGTATAGGTAATGGGGAGCTTTATAGAGGTACGTATAGGTAGGGAGAAGCTCTATAGAGGTCAGTATAATAGCTGAGAGCTCCATAGAGGTCCGTATAGGTGGTGAGGAGCTCTATAGAGGTCCGTAAATGTGGTGGAAGTCCCTATAGAGGACCTATAGGTTATGATGACTCTATAGAGGTGCATATAGAGAACTATATGGAGGTCCGTATAGGTGGTGAGGATATCAATATAGGTCCGTATATGTGGTGAGAGACCCTATAGAGGTACGTATAGGTACATCCGTATAAGAGATGATGACCACTGTAGAGATATGTATAGGTGGTAGTGAGCTTTTTGTGATCCGCAGAGGTATTTATATATGTGGTCCGTATATGTGGTGAGGAGCTCAATAGGAATCTGTATATATGATGAGCAGCTCTATAGAGCTTCTAACAGGTAATGACGAGATCTCTAGACATGCGCATAGGAGATGATGAACTCTACAGAGGTCAGTATAGGTGTCGACGAACTCTATAGAGGTCCGTATTGTTGATAAGGTCTCTATAGAGGTTCGTATGGTGTTGAAGAACTCATAAGGGGTCTGAACATGAACTCTAAAGATGTTCGTATAGGTGGTGTAGAGTTTATAGAGAAGTCTTTCTTCTATAGATAGAAGAATCCTACATTCTATAGATAGAATCCTCTCTTCTATCTATTGGTACAACAGAGATGCTTTTTTTTCTATAGATAGAATAAAGAGAGATCTCTTCTATAGATAGAAGAGAGCGAGGCCTTTCTTCTATGGATAGAAAAAAGGGCTTTCCTTCTAGTGATAGAAAAATGAGGCATCTTTTCTATATTTATAAAAGAGAGCCTCTTCTATCTATAGAAGAAAAGCCTCTTCCATCTATAGAATAGAACCTCCTCAATCCTTAAAAAGAACCTCTTCTATTGTATCCATAGAAAAGAGGTCACCTCTTCCTATAGAAGAGAAATCTCTTCTGGGAAGGTATTTCACTTCTATCCATAGAAAAGAGACCTATTCTATCCACAGAAGTTAGACCTCGTATATCCATAGAAGAGCGATTTCTTCTATGTATATAAGAGAAGTATCTTAAGTTTGTATAAGAGTTGTGTCTTTTCACTATCTACTCACTTTTCAATTCACGTCCCTCTGGTGTACAGGAACCCTTATCCATCAGACACTTAATGTAATTGGTCAAGATACGATCGTTACGCAAAACATTGTCGACATCGACGTTATCAAAACGGTTGGTGTACATTTTCTGGGAGGCAACCAGGCCCAAGCACATGGCGGCGATTAGCAGACAAGCCAATGTGGTCTTCATGTTGGGAAATCTGGAAGAGAGTGAAAAGACAAACAAATCAATAAATAAATCGTATAACTGTAACTGGAGCGGGAAAGTGTAACACAGAGGCACACTCACACACATATGGGGATTACAACACTTAAGCACATACTAAGCACACAGACACTTATGCAAACATATGAGGCAATACAAAGAGGAAGACAACTTGTGTTTTGGGACAGGTTTTTGGCGGGAGATTTTTGTTGTTGTTTTTTCTTTTTATCAAGCAGGGGGGTTATCCATCATTGAGCTGGTGGCTAACTACCCCTCCCACCCGAGGTATTGTGGGGGCCATTATTGATTGGGTTTTCAAAATAAAAAGCTACTCAAAGTAGCAGCAGCTACAGTTTTGCAGTTTAAAATTTAAAACAGAAAAAAATTACATAATAACAGGGGACAGAGCCCCAGGCTGGTCGGACATTCAGTCGGTCGATTGATTGTTCGGTCAGTCGCTTGGCTGTTTATTTTTATCATCGAAAGAAGAGCACACCCGACCTGTGTGCATTATTTTGTAATCATTGCTGCTGTTCATTTTTTTCTTTTAATTCATTTTCAGTTTTTTTTTTTTCAAAAATTGTCAAGGTACTTGATTTGAAAATTTCTTAGAAAACCAAATACAAAAGCAACAACAACACCGCCACCAAAACAATGGCATTTATGAGTCGCTGCATTGCATACCAAATAATTTGTAGTTAATGGCCTTTTTACACAATCAAGGGGCTCGGAACGTTGAAAACCTAACTGACAGTTAAAAGCTACCGTTTACGGACGACCACAACAACAACAATATGGCCATGCAGCTGAAAGCTGAATTTGGTCATTTACAACAACAACAAAATGTGTTAATTTTTTGTTGTTAAGGTCGTAATAAAGAATATTTCAATGAATAGCAAAATTTTAATATTTTTCGATTTTGTTCGGAAGATGGAACTGTGTGCCTGAGTGTTGGTCAGGTTTACACCCAAGGTCTCTGAAGGGTCGTGGCGTGTTATAGTTGGTTAAACCTAGGCGATAGGTTATTACACCCAATGGCAATTGCGAGAAATTGTGATTTATGAGAATGGCCCGCCAAAGTTGGGACCCCATTTTTAAGGTTAAATATTGAAGCTACAGATAACACTTGTTCGGTGACCTATAGTGAAATTTTGTGGAGAATATTTTTCTCATTGACATTTAATCCATAAAATGAATAACGCTGCAGCAAATTGTCGAAAATTATGAAATGCTATGAAATTTTCCTAAAAACGTGTTTATATATCAAAAATTAGAACGAATATTTTATGGGTATGTATAGGTTCCACAGTTTTCTTATGGTCGGTGACCTTTAGTTAAATTTTTGTAGAATATTTTTCTTATTGACATCAATAGCCTAAGAACAGTAACAGTGGGTCAAATTGGTAAAAAGTGGGAACAACTAAAAATAATAAAAATCAATATTTGTATATACATATATCGAAAATAGAACCGGTATTAAAATTATAAGTAGGCATCCTACCGAATTCGTTTGTTCGGTGACCCATAGTGACATTTGATGAAAAATATTTTTTCCATTAACATCAACAACCTAAGTATAGAAACAGTGGATCAAATTGGCAAAAAAAATCTAACAAAAATTAAAATTTTTCCTAAAAAAAATATATTGGAACCGACATTTAAATGATATATATTATCCCTACCGATTTCTTTTGGTCGGTGACCTATAGTGAAATTTTGTGCAGAATATGTTTCTCGTTGACATCAATCCTTTAAAATTAGGAAAAGTTAGTCATTTTACCAAAAATCCAGGAAAAATACTAGGAACTTAGAAATATTCGTATATATTCAAAATTGAACCGATATTTTAATGATACCTACAAATCCTACCAATTCCATTTGCTCGGTGACCTATAGTGAAATGTTGTGCAGAATATTTTTCTTATTGACATCAATAGCCTAAGAACAGTAATAGTGGGTCAAATTGGTAAAAAGTCGGGCAAAACTAAAAATAATAAAAATTAATATTTGTATATACATATATCGAAATAAGAACCGATATTAAAATTATAAGTAGGCATCCTACCGATTTCTTTTGGTCGGTGAGCTATAGTGAAATTTTGTGCAGAATATTTTTCTGGTTGACATCAATCCCCTAAAAATAGAAAGAGTTGGCCATTGTAACAAAAAATTAGAAAAAGCTATGAACTTTTCTCAAAAAAAAATGTTATTTCCAAAATTGGAACCGATATTTTAATGATACCTACAAATCCTACCTATTCCATTTGCTCGGTGATCTATAGTGAAATTTTGTGCAGAATATTTTTCTCATTGACATAAACTATCTAAAGTTAAGAAGAGTGAGTCAAATGGCCAAAAATCCGCTTATCCTGGACTTAATTTATTTTTAAATTCAACGCTTAGGCAGAAAATATTCTCCAAAAAAAATCTACTAGGGGCTTCCAAACAAACCGAATCGGTAGCATGAATAAATAATGCTGGAATACGGGTTGAATTTTGAAAGTAGAAAATAAAATATTTTTTTGAATATTTTGGGTCAACTTTGAGTATTTCCAAAATATGACGATATCTACCTCTTAACCTTATTGTAGGGGTTTGATGCCAGTGGAAAAAATATTCTGCACAAAATTTCATTATGGGTTCCCGAACAAAGCTAATCGTTAGCCATAATTTGAATCTAAAGTTAAGAAGAGTGGGTCAAATAGCCAAAAATCCGCTTATCCTGGACTTATTTTTTTTTTTAATTCAACGCTTAGGTTGTAATTTAAAAAAATATTTTTCTTAAATTAATCCATGCCAAAGGTATTAAAAAAATCCAAAATTCAAAAAATATTTTCTGAAGTCTTCCGAAGGCTTAAATAGCCTTCAAAAAATATTTTTTAAGAAATCCAAGTCTTTGGTAGACTTCAAAATATTTGTTTTTTATCCACGGCTGGTGGATTTAAAAAAAAAAAAAATTTTAATCCACGCCTTTGGTGGACATCAAAAAATATATTAAAAAAAGGAAAGATATGTGCTTTTCATCGGTCCATATCCTGAAGAAAATCTTTGTTAATAAGATCTGGGTAGATAGACTCAATACGATGTTCTGTCCCATCCAAAGTTCAAACTCCATCTCATAAAAATTTGTTTTAAATATCCATTAAAAAAATAGTAAAAGTTCTTAAAATTTGAATTTCTCAATGCAAATTAATTGAGCAGTTAGTTATTAACCTATTTTTGTTTTGTTTGTTATGCCAAAACTCAAAATCCAAACGAACAAAAAAAACAAATCTGTCAAAATTGCTCAATAAATAAAACATGAGCTTTGCTTTCTTAACACGTTTTCAAGGTTTAGTTTTTTTGTTATTGTTGCTGGTGTAACTTTCTAGTTTTGTATTTTAGATGCAGACTTTATTGGGGCCGCACTCACACACACACACGCAAATCCAGCAAAATGATTTATTTGTAAAAGAAAACGGGCCAGCATTAAAAATTTCGTAAAGGAAAACATGTTTCGACCAGCGATATTTTTTTTTATTAATTTTCAATTTCATAGAGCGATTCTCACTTTTTGCCAAAGGTTCCTTTCTTTTTTTGAGATTTCACAATTTTTATTTTTTTCCAAAATCTTTTTAACATAAATTTCAAAAAAATTATCACTTTTTTTAACCACTTTCTTTGTTAAATTTCCTTTGTTCCTGTTTTTTTAAATAAATTTTCCTTTAGACCTCTTTGCATTGTGTCTTTTATTTCCATTCAATTTAATCACTTTTTTTTCAAAATTTCAACTTAATTTGGATTATTTGTTTGTCTGTTGTGCCGTCGTAAGAAAACAAAAAACAATCTAGGAAATGAACTTACTTTCTTGGGCTAAACTGTTAGGTTTAAAAGCTTCAACACTATTATACTCGATTTGGATTTTTGTAAGTCTTTATATACTGGACGCGTTACGCATAGCTACACTGTAAAAAGCGGCAGCAAAAACATTTCTCAAAAAAACAAAAAAATATTTCGATGAGTTAGCAAAAAAAACCTCATTGAGAAAATCCAAATGAAACGTGGATAAAAAACAAAAACAAATAAACATTTTCACACATTTTTTTCAAAATTATGCTTTTCAATATGACACATTTTTGAATAACAAATAATCTGGCAATATTTTTATTATAGGATCTTGATGCCAGTGGAACAATTATTCCACACAAAATTTCACTAGGGGTTCCCGAACAAAGCTAATCAATAGCTATAATATTTATGGGGGAAATATAGGCAGCAACTTGGAAATCGTGGTGTTAAAAAAAAAACTTTAAAGGCAGAAAATATTCTCCGGAAAATTCTACTAGGGGCCTCCAAACAAACCGAATCGGTAGCATGAAAAAATAATGCTGGAATATGGGTTGAATTTTGAACATTTTTTGAATATTTTGGGTCAACTTTGTGTATTTCCAAAATATGACGATATCTTCCTCTTAACCTTATTGTAGGCGTTTGATGCCAGTGGAAAAAATATTTTACACAAAATTTCACTAGGGGTTCCCAAACAAAGCTAATCGATAGCTATAATATTTATCGGGGAAATATCGACAGCAACTTGGAAATCGTGGTGTAAAAAATATATTTCGACCAAATTTTGCGTATTTTCAAAATGTTATCATTTGTAGCACTAAACTTTACTTTAGAGGGGTGCTGTAAAGGCAGAAAATATTCTCCAGAAAATTCTACTAGGGGTCTCCAATCAAAACCAATCGATGGCATGAATAAATAATGCTGGAATACGGGTTGAATTTTGAAGGTAGAAAATAAAATATATATTTTTTAATATTTTGGGTCAACTTGGTGTATTTCCAAAATATGGCAATATCTTCCCCTAAACTTTATTGTAGGTATTTAATGGCAGTGGAAAATTTGTTCTACACAAAATTTCATAATGGGTTCCCGAGCAAAACTAATCGATATTTATCGGTGAAATATAGGCAACAACATGGAAATCGTGGTGTAAAAAA